GAAAGCCAGCCCAGCCCCGCGGCCGGCCTGGGGCCCCGAGGTCTGGGGGTTCTGGGGGGTGGGCACTGTCCTGACTGACAGCTCAGGAGTCAGGAGCCGGGAGAAGACTGGGGGGTTAGTGCACCGCCGTGGCCACCCCAGGGACTGCAGCGGGGGGGTGGGGGGAGGCTCCGTGGGCACAAGTCCTGTGCTGACCTGTTACCTCCGCAGGCGCTTGGCTGGGCCTGGGAAACGGGACCCTGAGTAGGGATCAAGGGGCTGGGGGAGGGGAGGAGCCAGGAGGGGCCCAGCTTTGTAGGGGGACGGGGGACCCCAGCACGCTGGCCGCAAGACTGGAATGGGACAGATGTGGTCAGGAGAGAAGGCAGGAGGTTGAGGGCGTGGCTCAGACTCTTGGACCCCGCCCCTTAGAGGGCACAAAGGCGGAGCTGGCTCCCCTCCCCAAGGCCTGTGTGTCCCCAGCCCTGAGCTCACTGGCTGCCCACCCTGAGTGAGACCCAGGAGCCCTGAGCTCCGGCCCTGCCCAGGGGCGGAGGCACCGAGCCCCACGGTGTGCTGGGCATCGGCTGCCCAGGCGTGGGGACCGTTTCCCAGGTGGCCTGAGGCCTGGGAGGGCTGAGCAGAGTGAGAGGGACCCCCATACACAGCAGATGGGAAAGCAGGGGTGCTGACAGGCCCGGGGCTGACCGAGGGGCTGCCTCTGGGACGCTTGGCCCCCATGGGTGCAGGGACAGCCAACCTCAGGGCCCAAGGGGAGACCAGAGCCCTGCTGCCCCCCCCCAACAGCCCCCCAAGGGAGAGCGTCTCCGTGGTCCTGGGCCAGCACTTCTTCAACCTGACGACGGACGTGACACAGGCATTTCGAATTGAGAAGTACATCCCGTACCCCCTGTACTCGGTGTTCAACCCCAGTGACCATGACCTTGGTGAGGCTCAGGGCAGGCGGGGTGCAGCCAGGAGAGGGGCAGGGTGGGCACCTGGAGAACCCTGGGAGAGTCCTCAGGTCCGCGAATGTGAGGAGGGGTGGACGGAGGGACAGAGGCATGGGGAGGGGCCTGGCCTGGCCTTCCTGCCCCCTCTGGGTCTTCCCGTCACAGCCTCCCGCCCAGAAGGGCACACCCGGTGTGACTCAGCGGCCACGCTGTACCCGTCACGGACCCCCCACCCTGCTGACCTCTGGCCTCTCTCCCACCAGTCCTTATCCGGCTGAGGAAGAAGGGGGACCGCTGTGCTGTCCGCTCCCAGTTCGTCCAGCCCATCTGCCTGCCGGAGCCCAGCAGCCCCTTCCCCGCGGGGCACAAGTGCCAGATCGCGGGCTGGGGCCACCAGGATGAGAGTGCGTGGTGGGGGGGGGGGCAGCTGGCAGCGTGGTGCCCAGGGAGCAGTGCCCACCTGACACACGTGTCCCTGCCCACAGACGTGAGCGGCTACTCCAGCTCCCTGCGGGAGGCGCTGGTGCCCCTGGTGGCCGACCACAAGTGCAGCAGCCCCGAGGTGTACGGGGCCGACATCAGCCCCAACATGCTGTGCGCCGGCTACTTCGACTGCAAGTCTGACGCCTGCCAGGTGAGCCAGCCTCAGACCTGCGCACCCTGGGGAAGGGGACCCGCCCGCAGGGCCAGCGGGGGCCAAAGCAGACGGCACACATGCCCCATCCCTGTTCCCGCCGCTGCTGGAGGGCCCCACAGTGGGGCAGAGACACCCCTCACACAGATGGGGAGCCTGAGGCCCAGGGAAGGGCGGGTCACAAAGCCGGACAGCCCAGCTGTCCAACCGAGGGCAGGGCTGGCCACGTGACCCCAAAGGCCAGCCTCTTCCCCCAGAGCTCTCACCGCGGGCTCTCCCATTGGCCAGTCCCAGCAGCGCACACTCATCCAGGCAGGACGTGTGTGTGCAAGCCTGAGGCGTTATAGATGGGGAAACTGAGGCCCAGAGAGGCCCATAACACTTCCCAGGTCACACAACTCAGATGTGGCCAGGGAGTGTGTTGGCGGGGGGGCGTTTCTGGGGTGCCGAGGAGCTGAGCCAGGGTCTCCTGAGCTGGCCCCGGCTCTGACGGCAGCTCTGCTGCAGGGAGACTCAGGGGGACCCCTGGTCTGTGAGAAGAACGGCGTGGCCTACCTGTACGGCATCATCAGCTGGGGCGATGGTTGCGGGCGGCTCAACAAGCCCGGCGTCTACACCCGAGTGGCCAATTACGTGAACTGGATCAACGACCGGATTCGGCCCCCTAAGCGGCCTGCAGATTCCCCCTGAGACTCCCCCGGGACATGCTGCCTCCTTGCCATTCCCTGCCGGCTGGCAATAAAGCTGCTCCCAAGAGCACAGCTCGCCCAGCCTGGCCGCTGCCCCGCCCAGCCTCCCCTCCGAGGCCGACCCAGGCCTGCACACACCTCCCCTGCATGAGCTCCCTCTAACCCTACCCCCGCCCCCGGGTGTTGAGTGTGGGTCCGTTAAAGCGGTGACTCACATGTATAGTTGTCGAGGGCCAAGCCAGCTTCGCATTCCTGAGTGAACTGCTGAGTCAGAGTGTGAGCCGGGCATCGTCCATGTGCCCGCCCCAGGCTTGTTCCCAGCCCAGGAGGCTGGTCCCCCAGGCTGATCAGTGAACTCTGTGCGCAGTGGGTTATGGTGGGGCCTCAGGGAGCCTGGCAGGAGGTCTGAGAATGAGCCAAGTGAGATGGAGTATTGATGTCCCTGGCTCCCTCCTTTTGGGGTCACCTCGGTGTTACAGGTTGTACCCTAAAACCCATATGTTGGCGTCAGGACCTCAGAATAGGACTGTTTGGAGAGAAGACCTTCACAGAGCGACCAGGTTAGCATGAGGTCAGGGTGGGCCCTGATCCAACACAATGTGTCCTTATAAGAGAGGGAGAGTGGGGCCAGGCAGACGGAAGGAAGCCGGTGTGACAGGCCACCTGGGGAGGCGGCCATCTGCAGCCAAGGATGGACCTGAGCAGCTCCCCCCCTGTGGACACCTCCATCCGGGACCTCTGCCCGGAACCTTGAGATGCTGTGTCCGCTGCTTAAGTCCCCAGTCTGTGGTGCTTTGTTACAGTGGCCGAGCACACCGGTACACCCAGACCCCCACCGACGGTCACTCCCCACACACGCACATGGCTCTGGACAGTTGTGATGACTCACCCCCCCTCACCCCCTGGTCTGAAGGAGCCAGGGCAGCAGAGCACCCTGGGGCCCCCCACAATGATACCTTGTGAATAAACCCGTCCGACTTGTCCTGTCATGCAGCCTGCGAGGACTCTGGATATTGGTCACGCTGTTGTCTTATAAGCTCGTTCAGATTTGCTTAGATTTCTGTTTAGGATTTGACATTTGCGTTTCTGACTGACGCTGTCAGTGTCTGTCCTCAAGGCTATGCCAACCTCAGCATGAGCTCAAGAGTACCTCACAGGCCCAGTGGCCAGAAGCCAGAGGCCGGGCTCTGAGAGGGCTCACTTCCAGGTGTGCAGACGGCCGCCTGCTTGCTGTGTCCTCAGGTGTCTCTACTGAGAAGGTCACTAATCCCGCCGTGGGGGCTCCACCCTCGTGACCTGCTCACCTCCCAAGGCCCCTCCTCCTGACACAGGCACACAAAGGGCTGGACTTCACACATGAACTGGGGGACACACACGGGGTCTGCAGCAGGAAACAAGGAGTAGAGGCTGGAGCCGACCCAGCGTCCGGAGTGGGAGCCACGCTGAGGCTCCTGCCTTTCAGCAGCCCTGCGGCCCTGGACGGGAGGGGACTCTCCCGGCTGAGCCTGAATTTCCCTGGCCGGTCCCGGAGCAGGTGCAGCGCCAGGCGTGGCGGGAGCTGGGCCAGGGCCAACCCTCAGGAATGCAGGCACGTCCCTCCCGGCAAGGATGACCAAGTGCCAGGCGCCTGGGGTGGCGGATGTGGCAGTGGCCACAGCCCCCAGCCACCACCCGCCCGTGCCAGCTGTCCAGGGCCAGCCCCTGGGGCCTGAGACGTGTGGGCGCATAAATGGCCTCTGTGGCGGGGCAGCTGCTGTGGGAAAGGCTGCGGGAGCCATGCAGGTGACGGGGGGAGGGGCGCTGGGCACCCGAGCTGCTCCCCAGCCCTGCTCTGTCTTGGCCCTGACAAGACATCCCAGGGCATCAGCTTCAAGCTCCTGGCCCACCAGGGACCTGCCCTCTCAGACCCCCAGGGGTGGTGGGGAGGGGACCCCAAGTCGGGGCGGTGGGGGGAATGGCGCTCTGCACCCAGCTACACTCCCACCCGGTCCAGGCTCAGCAACGGGGGCCAGACAGAGCGAGACCGACCTGTGCGCTGAGTGTCACTTCCTGCTCCGTGGGTGGCAGGGCCCAGCCTGAAGGACCTGGACAGTGTAGAGACCCCGTGCCCCACTGGCAGCCTTCCTGAGGCGGATGCCGGGGTAACGGCTCGCCACCTCTTCCCTCTTCTCCGCTAGAGCATTAGCCCCTGAGGGAACCCCAGTGGAGCGCATGCTTCTCGTGGCTTCTCTGGGGGCGCCCCCACCTCTGCCTCGCCCGCTTGCCTTGGATGTCCCTGGAGTCGGAGAGGGGAGCTGCTGACGCCGGGGTGTAGCCCTGCCAGGTGCCTCGACCACCTGGGTTCCTGGAGAACCGGAACCTGAGCTAGAGCTACAGGTGGAGTCGG